CCCCAAAACCCCAAAACCCCAAAACCCCAAAACCCCTATTTTATAACTTATGGCTGAATTTAATTATTTTTATAAAATATGTTCACGAGGATAGCCATCAAGCCTAGATTTGCCTCTACGGTTATGTTTAACACTTTCAGACCTTTCTCTGGAGATACAAAGATTAGGTTTAACCATCATTCTGGGGATGAACAAGTCCAAATCTCTCAACTCAAGGTTTACAGAAAGCTCAAATTTGATTACTTGCATGGATTGCCATACGATCTTTCAGGAACGCACTCAGTTCCAAAATTAGATCAAAGGAATCTTATTGAGGCATTCTTTGAATCTAAAAAGATAGAGGATGAGTTCCTAGTCAACAAATTCCACGATATGGTATCAGATCTCTACACAGCTATTGCTGATAAGGACTTAAGCCAAGTGGCTTCTCTAACAGAGAAAAGATTTGGGACGAAAATTGTTGAATCAATTGATGCCAATAAAAATCCTCTCAAGTTTATCCCAAACGATACGCCTAACGCAGAAAGAGATGAAGAAGACCAATCCTATCTCTTTGATAAAATATTCGAAAAAGGAGTTTTCTTTGATAGAGAGAGGAATGATAACAATTATGACTACTATTTGGACCAGACTCAAGAGCCTGAAGGCATCAGGTACTTTGAACACAAGTATTTTTCTGGCTACGATACTCATTATTACCTCAAGAACTGTGCTGAAGAGATAGAAGACAGAAGCTCAAAATACAAGTTTAGACATCAAGTCCAAGAAAGAAGCGTATCGATGGTTCTTAGAGTGTATGGAGTTTTTAAGAATGTCGGAAAGTTCAGCAGCCGCGGAGCTGATATTACTTCTAATAAATACACCGGCAATCACATGGTTGTCTTTGAAAATGAACTTCACGGACCTCCCTCAATTTCTCTATCATATCCAAATATAGAGAGCTGGGTTAAAAGACACAAGATTGATCACAAGAATTGGAAGATCACCGACATTGATAACTACATGAAAGGTAAAGAAAAGCATAAGCTTTAGGAAATCCTTTCTTTAAAAAGGTGGGAGATTCATCTGATTTTGATAACTTCGTTATCAAAATTAAAGAAGAGCACACTCCAGAAAAGGATGACTATAGAAATCTTATTAGCAAGTACTCCTTCCGGTAAGATAGTAATTTCAATATGTAGAGACAACACAGACTTTGGAGATAGAGGAGAACGTGACGAGAGAGATGAATTTATAACAAAACAGCACGAATACAATGAGTTCTTTGAGCCAGCTTCAAACAGAACATTTGAGGAAGATAATAGAAAGAGAATGGAAGAAGATGCAAAGAAACTCTCTGGTAAGCTATTAGCTTTTAGATACATTGTAATGCTAATATTCTATAGGCAAACAAGAGGACAATGATAAAATTAGAAAAGATCACCAAGAATACATATACAACAACATTGAGGAAATGAAGAAAAATAACTTCAGGTTATAAAGTTTGAAACTTCCTATTTCAATCCTGTTAAGGTTTGAAGGGGTTTTGGGGTTTTGGGGTTTTGGGGTTTTGGGGTTTTGGGGTTTTGGGG